GTTGGCCAAAGAAGTGGTGAATGCCCCATCGCTGGCAGTGTTCAAGGCCAGGTTGGACAGAGCCTTGGGTGATATGGTTTAGTGTGAGGCGTCCCTGCCCGTTGCAGGGGGTTGGAACTGGATGATCTTGAGGTCCTTTCCAACCCAAACCGTTGTGTGATTCTATAGGCCATGGCAAGGTAGACATAGCTCAGTGGAGGAGGATCAGTTTAGGGAACATTCAGAGTGGACATACGTGAGTCCGTGGCCTGATGAGATGCACCACTGAATGCTGAAGGAGCTGCCTGATGGCTTTGCCAGGCCACTCTCCATCATCTCTGAGAGGTTGTGGTGGTCAGGAGAGGTTCCTGATGACTGGAAGAAAGCAAATGTCTCTCCTGATTTCCAGAAGAGCAAGGCTGAGGTGTGGCGAACTCCAGGCTGGTCAATGTCACCTTGATCCCTGGGAAGGTGGTGGAGCAACTAACCCTGGAAACATTTTCCAAAGACACGAAGGGCAGGATGGTGGTAGGGAGTAGCCAGCCGGGATTTGTGAAGGGGAAATCCTGCTTAACTAAGCTGATAGCCTTCTCCAGTGAGGTGGCTGCTTGTTGGATGAGGGGAGAGCCATGGTTGTTGCTGATTTTGAGCAAAGGTTTTGTATTGTGCCAGGTAACATCCTTAGAGACAAGACAGTGAAATATGGACAACTTCAGATGTTCCCTTTCATTAGAACAGCCTCAGTTTGCTGTTACCTTAAAATATGTATTCAGGTTGATGGCAGACAGGCTGCAACCTCGGTCCTTCCAACCCTCCAAAGCAGCAAATCTGGAGAAGGAGCCCTGTGTGACCGAAGAGCCAAGCGTAGCAGGCAAGAACAGAAGGCTCTGGAGAGCTGGATGAGCTCTGCTCCACGAAGGGCTGCTTTGGAAGCTGGAAACACAAAGTACTAGAAAAGAGAAATTTTCGACTGGGAAGTGTTAGCAGAGCTTCTAAAGCTTGGATGAGAGCAATGGGAAATAAGGTACGGGATTTGGGTCTGTTCCAAGCTGTGACTGCATCATAACCTTTGGAGAGCAGGAGCATTTGCATCTCAAAAAAGATCTAGAGAAGAGACTGAAATGAGTCTCCTGTTTGGCTTGTAAATCAGGCTGCCTTGTTTGTTTGCTTTTCCCTTGCTTCCGATAGGACTAATGCCTCCATACAGGCAATCGTGAAGTTCCTGTTCTCTGGGAATTCGCTGTGTCTGGCATCTTGCAGTGCTTAATCTGTTGGTAACTTTAATGTTTGGATGTAGCTGGGAATGACACATGGGCACTGTGGTGATGGGCACAGGGATAAATCCAGGAGTGCTGTCTGTGGAGGGCTGGGAGGGAGCTGGATTGGGAAGGTGCTGTACATGGTAGTATGGATGTGCCTGTGCCTTCTGCCAGTCGGGATATCGAATACCACCGTCATTCCACCCAGTACGAGGAATTCCAGCCTGGCAGTGGGGCCATGCTCCATGTCTGGGGCAAGGTGTGCTGCTCTGTCCCTGAGCTGAAAGTCCCCTAAATCTGCCAACGGGGACTTAAGCCTTATGTTGTGTTCCCACTGCTGGCACTGCCCAGGAAGGGCAGATCAGAGTGCCCTGCCAGGGCGGGTGGTGGACGGGCCCCGGAGACCCCGGCCTCAAGGGACGTACCGAGAGCACATGGATCCCTGCGCAGTCGGTGCTGCTGGTGTGTTGGGTCAGAACGGGAAAAGAGGAAGGAAACCGTTTCCCTGAGAGATTTCATGCTGGAAGGCAGCGCTGCACTGGTGAGGAGAGCTGATTGTGCGGGGGGTTGTGTAGAGATTACCAGCTGGGGCACAGAGCAGTGCAGCCAACACACATGGAGCCCAGTGCGGAAAGGAGGGACCCCGGGAGGAGCAGGGGAAGGATGCAGGGGACAGGCAGCAGGGACATCCAGAGAGCGGAATCAGCCTCCACAGCCCCTCGTGGCATTCAGGGCAGATGCCTCACCGTGGTTCAGCTGTAGGTGGACATGGCCACATGGGGAGGTGGTCTGAGAGGACGTCTTGGGGAGTGGGGCTCACCCTTCAAACCAGGCATCTCTGTGCTCTGCAGAGGGCCCAGCCAGTTCTGAGGTGATGGGTACAAAGTGAGGTGGTGGGGATACTGGGAATTGTGCCGAATCCTTGTTCTGTGGTGAAGATGCGCAGTAGCTGCTCTGACACCACAAACAGCCAGAGAGTACGTGTATAGCCTTGAGGTACAAATCTCATGATTATCAAAGAGTTTATCTTGAGAGCTGTTCCTCCTGAGGACCAAAATGTGGTCTCTGGGGACAGCATCGTACCAGTGGTCTCTGCTTGGTGGTTTCTTGTATCTAGAGCTGAAGAGCACTGAGCAGCTCTGCTCCTGCCAGGCTGCAGTGCAGCTTTAGGACAAGCAGACCATAAGGTTTCCCTGTGCTTGCTGGTTGCCTCGTAACTGTCAGCCCATTGCCAAAGAGCCTTTTTGGTAATCGGCCGCAGGAGGTTCCTCATCTTCTATAGGCCCTGCAGGATGGTCGGGGGAAGCATCCAGCAGCCTCCAAGGTCACTGCCCTTGTGCTGGGCCAGGTCCCAAGGCTTGTGTGTGAACCTGCCGCCTGTGGGAGGAGCAGCTCGTGCTGTCACTGCTACATTCACTCCAGAGCGTTTCTGATGCAGGCGAGCTTAAGTTATGGTTACAAAGTTGGAGAAACAGCCCTAGGGAAAGCACAAGATAAGATGATTCAAGTTTAAACTAGAGCCAGCGTCAGCCTTTTCTTGTTGCCTGTTGCCCAGGGATTTGCTGAGGAGCTGAAGAACCCAGTGCGTGTGTCCCCTCTGTTCTGTGGGGCTTTACAATGGCTCCCGAAGTTTCAAAGCAAGTCCCAAGAACACCCACGTCTCTGTGCTAGTCAGGGGGATCTCTTGATGTGCTGGGCTTGGTTTTAAGAGCTTGTGATCCAGCTGATGCTGAGGGAATGCATGTGAGATCACTGAGAGCAGGAACCCGGGATGCTGACTCTGCTGGTTTCTGTCAGGATGTCAAATGAATTGCTGTTCTGGATGCCACAATGTAGTGTTTTCTGAAGGATGTGTCAAGAGCTTATCACTTTGGGGTGATGTGCAGCACTTTCTCTTGATCTTTATAGACTTCATCTAACACAGGAATTCAGAGTCTGTTCCATAAACCACTGAGTTACAAAGGGTTAGGGAAGTGTTGTGAGCCACATTAACCTGAGAACATGTAACTGCTCCTCTCCCACTTCCTTGGATCAGGATGCTGCAGTTCATTGGCCTTGCAAATGCTTGAATTCAAGTGGGAAGTGCACATCAGCCATTCCGTGGATAAAATGGGGGTAATATCTGGGCACCCTGGGTGTGAGCTATAAATGGGAAACTTCCAGAAAGATCAGTAACAATTCTCACATCCCTCTTCCTCTTGCACTGTTGCATTGTTGCTATGCTCTGGCAGTGACAGTCTTTTTCTCTGTTGCTGTAGGAAATGGAATGGTCACATCTGATTCATTTTACATATCCCAGACCAATCCAGATCTTTCTTGCAGGGCTGCTGGCCTTAGAGTGGGGAATTGGAGCAATCCCAGGCACAGCTACAGGTTGGGCAGAGAAGAGATTCACAGCAGCCCTGCGGAGAAGGACTTGGGGGTGCTGGTGGATGAGAAAATGAACATGAGCCAGCTTCAGTGTGCGCTCGCAGCCCAGAAAACCAACTGGTCAAAGGAGATGATCCTGCCCCTCTGCTCTGCTCTCGTGAGACCTCACCTGGAGCGTTGTGTGCAGTTCTGGTGTCCTCAACATAAAAAGGACATGGAACTGTTGGAACAAGTCCAGAGGAGGCCACGAGGATGACTGGGGACTGGAGCACCTCCTGTATGAAGACAGGCTGAGAAAGCTGAGGCTGTGAATGCTCCATCCCTGGCAGTGTTCAAGGCCATGTTGGACGAAGCCTTGGGTGAGATGGTTTAGTGTGAGGTGTCCCTGCCCATGGCAGGGGGGTTGGAACTGGATGATGTTAAGGTCCTTTCCAACCCTAGCTATTCTATGATTCTATAATTTTATGAATCCAGTTGCAGGGAGCTGGAGATGGCAGCTTACATCAGGCTGGTTTTCCCAACAAACCTCAGGGTGCTTTGTAACCTGGGCCTGTGCTGGGGGCTCTGGTTCTTTCTGTGGGTGCAATAAGAAGTGCTGGTTTCTCTGTAGCTCCTCAGCAGTTTCTCCTGGCTCCCTGATGCTGTCCTCTCCAGCAGCAGTTGGTGAGGAACTCAAGCTGATGGTCCCTGGTTTAATGAGGATGCTCCTGATGCGATTCCCCGTTAAAGTCTCCTTGACTCTGAATTCATTTAATCTTCAGAGCACATTTCAAGATTTCCTCTGTGTTTTTCTAAGCTTTGAGCATCTAAAACCAAGGCTTAATGGGTTGGGAGAGTTTTGCTGTGGCAGGGAAGTGCTTTCCTGTTTGCTGTGTCATTTGGAGTGAAACAGCTCTTGGATTTTTCAACACAGGCCAGCCAGGATTCCCCATTCTCAGTGACTTGTGTTATTGCCTTGGCCAGTTTCTTTCTCTCTTGGCCTCGCTTTGGTCATGGGGCTGACTTCTCTGCTGCTCTGAGGGTCTCAGCACCTAACAGTCAGTGGCAGGTTTCCAGGAACTGGTGTTACCAAAGCCTATGCTGTGGCTGGGTCCCCCTTAACAACTCTTCGTACAAAGAAGGATGCTGCCAACTCATTGTTTCATTTTCACAGCACGTGGCTGCATGAAGGCCATTGACTACACTGTCTCTCTTCTGGACATGGGTGAAGGAAGCTTTTAAAGGTGCTTATCGAGGTGCTTTCTTCCTCCAGAGCACGCCTGACCCCAGGCAGAGGTTCCATGCTGTGCTCTTCGTGTTTCCACTGTGTTAACACTGTACAATGGTCATTCCAGCGTTCCCCTTCCCCGGGAGCCTGCTCATTTTCACATGCCTGTTTCTTTCTCCCCACAGTGCTGAGCATTGGTGAAGGTGGCTTTTGGGAAGGAACCGTGAAGGGCAGGACTGGCTGGTTCCCGGCAGAATGTGTTGAGGAGGTGCAGATGCGACAGTATGATTCCCGGCAAGGTAAGCTGCTCCAGCAGCAGTGTCCCTCAGCACTGGGAGCTGTTGATTATAAATTGCCAGCAGTCTCCGAGTTTGCCCTTTCTTTGCGATGGGTGCAGCTGAAGAATTGTATCTCCAGGTGTTAGTTTCTGTTACTGGGTGCATTAGCATCCAGCAGCGGACATGCTGATCCACGGTAAGTGTGTGGTGCTGTTGTGAGAAGAGCACTCAGGATCCCTTTAGTGGAGATCACTGCAATGGCTGGTCTTACGGAGGTGATGATGAGTGGTGGAGCAAGAGACTTTCTCTTGACCTAAACCCCCAACCCCACATTATGTTTTGGGGGACTTCCAAAGGAAGCAGTGGTTTGCACGTGTTTGTTCTGGTCCAACAGAAGCATTAAAAGTGGCCGTAACTCAGCCCCAGCCCTCCTGACACTCCACCACCCAACAGGAATTTGCTGTTCCCTGAGGACAGGGGTGTCAGGAGGAGCTGCACGTTGCATGTGCCAACAAAGTGGTGCTCTTGGACGTCACCACGACTGAATGGGTCTCCTGCTGTTGTGGGGCATATCCCACAGCTTGCCCCTTAGCACCAGGAGTTGCTGGGCAGCGTTCCTCCCCCAGCCTGAGCATGGAGTGGGAAATGCTTCCAGCAAGCCTAAACATGTCCTGGTGTAAAGCAGCTGAGGAGAACATCTGGATTACTGTTTTTCCAATGTATTACTTGGGAGATAAGTGGCCTTGATTTGTCACATTCACTGCAGTTCACTTTGCATAGTAAATGAGCTTTAAAATTCACACAGCTGGATTCTGGTAAGTGACAGTTGAACCTAGATTGTGAAGTTGAAACAAAGTTGTGGAAAAAGCCCTCAGTAAAATACAGGTCTCTGGGTTGCACACAACTGGTTTTAATTTGTTTCTGGAAGCCTGAACCCACTTACAGACTCTTTTCTTTGCTCTAATGCCAGTCCTTCTGGAGAGCTGTAAATGTGCAGCCTTGGGCACATCCTTTACCAGGATGACTGGAATCCAAAGTGAGCGACTAACCACGTGTGTGCTGTGATGAGTATGTGGCAGGTCGGGTGTGCTCTAGGACACTTGCACATCAGTCCCTGTGGATAAAGTATCGGGTGCCTCTGGGACCTGATCTTGTGGCCATGGAGGGTGTCATGGGAGCAGGGCTCCACCAGCAGCACCTCAAACCTGCACCCAGCAAAGCTTTTCTTCTCCCCCACCTCCCTCCCCCCGATTTGTTCAGTTCCTGGCTCTCCATCTGCAGTTCCAGCTCATGTTCCCAGTGCTCATTCTCATTCTTCCTTCAGATTAGCCCTGTATGTGCCCATCTTGCTGTGCTGGGCACCGCTGCTTTTGCCCTCCCTCCTGCATTCACTTGTGCAGCTGGGCCCATCAGAGGTGGAGCAGAAGTGTTCATGCTGATGGGAAACATTTGATGACAGTAAAGACTTGATCAGGATATTCTTCCTTTTTCAGGGATGATTAGGGCTGATGAGTTGGGAATTCCACTGAGATTCCACCTTCCCCCCTCTTGTGCTGCTTTGGAGCAGTGCTCTGGAGCCATTTCAGTGCACAGGGCTGCTTGCTCTGTCCTTTTGTGATGCTAAATGAAAAAGAGAATAGACTAATCCATATGGTTCAGAAGCCCTTCCTGTTTCTGTGAGTTCGTGCTTGCTAGGTGCTTTCTTGGAGGCTGCTCCATGTTTGGGTTGAACTGAAACTGTGCAGTGAGATGTGAAACCTGAAGCTGGAGCAGAGGCATGAGCGCTTTCCTCCAGTTGTCCATCCTGGCTGGCTCTTGGCGTGTCCTCCAGCCTGGCTTTGGCTTTGCCAACTTTTCCAGACAAAGCTTGGGCACAGCACTGAGGTACAGATGGTTTGTGGGAGGTGGTTTGAATGCCGCCACGACGCTTGGGCACGGAAGGAAGTTTCACTGTATAGACGTGGTGTTGCTCTGCCACTTCTCATCAAGATCAAAGACGGTGCCTGTTCCATCAGCTTAGGCACAGCCCAGCAGCCGGGCCGGCTCTGCACTGGTGGAAGAGTTCTGGCCTGACTGTGTTTTGCTGGGGAAGGAAACCACATCAGAGCTGTGGACATCTCCAGCTCTGTTTGTCGATGGAGGAGGGTGGCAGGGCTGCATGGCAGAGACATGACTAGACTCTTGTTGAGACAGACTGAAGGTGACTGGCGAGGGTGGGAACAGCTCAGGAAATTCGTTGTGATCTTCATTGAAATTCAGAGTGCGACTGCCAGGGTTGACATTTTGGAGCTGGTATTAGGATCTTCCTTTAACCTGCATGTATTTTCATGCTTTGAGGGAAAAGGCCATGAGCTGCATATTGATCTACCTATATGAGCCAAGTTCTTCTCCAGGGGTGCCTCTGGGTCAGCACTTCCCTCCCAGGTCCCAGCTCATAGGTGCTGCAGTGGTTCTTGGCTGTGGAGGGAGATGTTCTGTTGCTCACCTCTGTTACAAGCCCCAAGGCAGAAACCAACATTTCTCACTTCCCAGTGAGGGTCTCCTTAGATACCTCCTGCCTGTGGAACTGAAATCCTTTGGGGCCTAAACAGAGTTTCTTTGGTAAATAACTAAAACTTTCTGTATGTTCTCAGTTTATTTCTTCTGGCCCTACTGAGATCTCTGCTTTTGGCCATTTTCCCATAGAGATGATCCTTCTTGTATCATCCTGACATTCCAAGAGGAGATCTAAGTTCAATCCCATCACTTCACTATACCCTTTTATTCCTGTCTGCACCTCCTCTAACACCATGCCCTATATTTGACTGAAAGCAGTGACATTTCTAGTGGATCCAGGGAACTCATCTTTTTGTGCCTTCCCTGTGGTTGACACAGGACCAAGCTCATCAGGTGTCCCTCAGCTTTCAGTACTTGGAGGTCTGTGGGTGTAAGAACCTGCGTGTGGCTGCCGGCTGGTCTCTGGGTCCCTTATGAGTTCATGGTGTGTAGACCGGCTGCTGGGCAGTGGGGTCTCCTCGGATCCCAGCTGCAGCAGTGGTTCTGCACAGGAGTGACTTTGTCTCCCTGAGCAGAGGCACTGGTAGAGCTTTGCAGTGGAGGAACTGTGCTCTGCTTGTTGAGCAGCCACTGGGAGCTTCATTCACTCACAGAGGTGCAGTGGAGTGTCACCAGGGGATGTGACAGCTACTGGAGGTGGGCAGCACTTGTACAAGTACCTGAGAGACTCCAGATCTACCCACAGGTGATGCAGGAACATGGTCTTTCAGTGTGAAAGCATGTAGGGCTCTGATTAAAATGAAGCAGGAAAAGGTGGCCTGTCAGTGACCATTTTCCAGCACATCCAGCCCAAGTGTACGTCTACCTCCCATTCTCCTGCCTCTCTGCCTCAGCGTGTTCCCAGGGACCACGTAGTTCAGGGCCTAGAGAGCATCAGGTCACCGCGCGTGAGCTGCCTGATGTGCCTGATCAGTGATGGAAGGAGGCACATGCGGCTTGCGCTGGAGCTAAAGCCCTTTGCCTGCAGAGGTGATGCCCCAGCCCATGCCCGTGGTGGTTCCCAGTGCTGATAAGTCACCAGCTGTTTAGATACAAAGTGTTTGGAGAAGGAGCACTTGGTAAAGGACCTACCCTGCATATGGTCCCTCAGAAGTGGCTTTAAACCAAGAATGAGGGGGGTGATGGGGACAGGCTGCTGTCTGCATTGCTGGTTTTAGTCCAAGAAGAGGAAAATCAGACAGATGTTGGCATACCTTTGCCTGAAGGGACACAAGAGAGGAGCTGGTGGTCAGGTGAAAGCAGCAGGCAGGCTGCTCCCAAAGAGGCTGTCTCTTCTGCTGATGGAACTGATAGTGGCCAGTGAGGTAAGGCTCAGGTATTTGGAATACAAATGCCAGCTCAGGAGTGCAGAGGAGAAGCTGAGCCAAGTGATTTGTTCAGTCCAGCAGCTCCTAAAGGTGAGAACAGCGCAGAGGGGCATGTGTGTGCTTTAGGGAAAGGCAGAGGCAATGGTGAAGCTGAGGGTGGGAGGGGTGTGTGGTGCAGAGCCAGAGGTAGGACAAAGCCATAAACCTTTATACTGCTTTGGAAAAGGACATTGTCGGGAATCCTGGTTTTTGTATTTGGTAAAGAAGAAGAGTGTAGTGAAGTGAATGGAACTGAGCATCTTCAGTGAGCAGCCTTCCAGTATCTGAAGGGGGCCTATAGGGATGCTGGGGAGGGACTCTCCATTAGGGACAGTAGTGACAGGACAAGGGGTAATGGGTTAAAACTTAAACAGGGGAAGTTTAGGTAGGATATAAAATATAAAAAGGAAATTCTTTCCTGTGAGGGTGGTGAGGCACTGGAATGGGTTGCCCAGGGAGGTTGTGAATGCTCCATCCCTGGCAGTGTTCAAGACCAGGTTGGACAAGGCCTTGGGTGATATGATTTAGTGTAAGGTGTCCCTGCCCATGGCAGGAGGGTTGGAACTGGATGATCTTAAGGTCCTTTCCAACCCTATGATTCTATGAAGGAGAGGTGGGGATTTTGAGTGAATATTTTAAGTTGAAGCTACAAAAACTTGCCCAAAAATGTATTCCTGGCAAAAGATAAATCCTGCAGGTAGAGAATCCAAATGTGATTGTCCCCAGGCTTCCAGGAATAAGCAAAGCTCTCAAAGAACAAAGACTAGGATTCATCTGCAAAAAACCCTGTATCAGGGGATCTGAAATCATGAATGTGAGATGCAGTTTGCCAGGAACTCAGCTGAGCTAGACCTGGAGAACCCTGAGAGGAGTAATAGTAAGTTCTTCAGCTCTACAAATAAGAGTAAGGAAAGAGGATGTAGGGCTATTAAGCCACAAGAATGAGTAAGATCAAAGATAATTAGATAAAGTCCAAACTTACCAGAACAATTCCCTCTCACAAGGAGCACGATGTTGGCTGGCTTGGAAACAGCAGGACGGGTACTGCCAGCTGGAGAGAGCAGCAGCAGCAGGGCCCTGACAGCACTAAGACATCTTCATGTCCATGACCAGCTTACC